ATATATATATATATATAGATATATATATATATATCTTAACCAGGCTCCTGTTTGACAGGTTTTTATGTCTGATGCATTTTCTGTGTCTCCTCCCAGGATCAAACTTGAGAGCTTTCGCTTGTTAGCCGAATGTGCAAACCAATACTTAACTTATGCATTTATATTATATGGTTTATATTTAAACGTGCTCTGCGTTCCTGATGCATTTTGTTTTAGTCTTCTTTATTGCCACCATACAGAAGACCGTAAACTTCTCACTCGTCCACATGGTGGATTTTGACAGAAAGAAGTGATGGGATTTGATCACCTCTGGCCAATGTCTGATCACAGTATCCCAATTTCAATCAATCCTTCCTACTTTGAACACATTAAGTGATATAAAGTACATTTTAATTTGCTTGTTTTATTTCAAATGAGGTTCATTTTTACACAAGTTATCCTCAGCGTTTCTTCATCATCTTTAAGAAACAAGATGTGCTCCTGGAATTTCAAATCTTTGCATAATTGACCAGCAATCTGAGGATATTCGTGCACGTTTTTCGCCTGCTATTTCCGACCTTTTCGTCTGATTTTTGAAGAGAAATTCACCAGCCTGTGGCGTTGGCATTAAAGCGTAATGGTCAGTTTGGACTCTCCTTGCGGTGGTTTTGCTTCCAATTCCATTTTTAGAGGTGGAAAAAGTTCATTCTTGAGTGGATCTGGTTCCAGACTATTAATAAATCATGGCTGCGACATCATAGGGTGCTGTTGGCGTCACTGTGTTTATAGGGCCGGATGAGCATGATTTACGCATGCAAACACCCTCAGATTTATATTTAAACAAGTTGTCTTAACCCTTTCATGTTCTTAAGGCATTAAAAAACTGTTTGCATCTCTTGTGTACTGAAGCGAACCTCTGGTATTTCTTAAAAAAGAGATTTTAATTGGAGGACAACCTGCAGACCTCCTCACCCTAATTAATGGCAGTCTTGCTTTCTAATGTTTTACTAACTAACAGTAAAGTGGTAGAGAAAGATTTAGGTGTCGCACTTTCAGGGTGTTACTCCAAAAGGAAAAAAATAATTTCCTAGATTGGATGGGCTAAAGTAGACGACTCAGAGGGAAGGGAAGATTTAAACAGAAGGAAATAGAGGCTTAAAAAAAAAGGAGGTAGAAGTTGTAGAAGTGATGATTTGAGGTCCTCAGGAAACAGGGTTATGTTTTTTTCCGGGCTCTGAGGGACCGTAGCCGGCCCAAGTTCTGTGTGTTTCCTCTTGATAACACTCAGCAACCTCACTTGTTGTCACACTTACTTGCACTGTAGAGAGTCTGGACTGCGTTGTTATAGAGGGATGAGTCTAGCACGTTTTGAGTTTATTCAGTTGTCCTCCAAGTTGTCCACCAAAACCTGCAAGGAATCACAAGCATTCAGTGTTTCCTGACATCGTCGTAGTTTTGGCAAAGTTGGAAATGTGAATAAAATATAAAAATGTGGAAAAATACAGATGCACACAAGAGACAAGGAGGAAAGGAGGGGGAAATTTCTCGAAATGGAAAACTACTGGAATCATTGCATGATGGGCTTGTTTTGTTCTTCGTCCTATCTTTGTTTTTGTCAGCCAGTCAGCTAGTGAGCTTCATAATGAGCTTATAGCCTCAATTTTGAATTCAGTTTTACTGATCAGGACAAAGTAAAAAGGGATGAAGTAAAAGAGGTACTAGACAAAGCCCCGCAGTGGCTTCCTCACACCTCTCCCCATCAAGCAGTCGTCTTTTTTTGTCTTTTTTTTTATCAGTGCTCCACACACCACCAGTCTGACGGGATAAATCTATAAGTGTTCGCCGATTAGTCGACGTGTTTCATAAATGTAATTTTGACTGCTTTTGCAGATAACGCAAAGGCAAACCGGCGAATCTTATGGAAGGAAAACAATGCAATGCATTTAAATGTAGTCTGCAGGAGGGGACCTTTCAAGCTGCAGTGTCATGACTACGAATCCACAGCCGTGCTCAGCCGGAGTATGACGATCTTTAATCTCGCCGGTGAGAGATTGAGCAGTTCATATTACCTTTGAAGCTGATTTGACAAGTGCACATAAGCTTCAGCTACGAGCCATGTCACCTGTGGTGGGGGAGAAAAAACCAGAATACCTGTTGTAATGTTCCGCTCCCTCAGAGCCAAGGGAAAAAAACATGGAAAAGGGAGTGGCCTTGCTGGTGAGTGAGTAAAAATACGTGAGGCTAGGTGTGTGTGTGTGTGTGGGTTGAACCATCATTACCTTGGGATCCGAGTACACGGCCAGACATCATTAGGCTTTAAGGCGAGAAAGTCTCCGCGGCACTGGTTTCGCAGTCTGCCTGACCCAGCAGACACGACAGGCCGGCATGCCGTTTAAGATCATTTATTTGGCTTTGCGTGTGTGTGTGGGTTCCTATGCGTGTTGCCTCATGTGTGTGTTTGTGTGCGTGTTATTTATTTATTTTGCCTGGTAATATGCCTGAGCCTTCATTATAGCGGGAGCCATAACTTTGATAAATCACTTGGGCTTGGGGCCCTCACTGCTTTCACAGTATTAGAAAACTAATTGAAATTCTCTTCCGCCCCCTCCTAACTCTCTCCCTCGCTCTAGCTTCCCCTTTTTTCTTTTTCCCTCCCGCTCCGTTTTTCACCCTTTCCCTCGTTCTCCCTTCCCGTCTCCTGTATCGAGGGCCAAACAGTACCGTGTTTTTTCAGTGGAATGGAAGCCAAGAGGGGGAAAATGTCATCACTGATTTAATAGGCATATTCTTACTGAGACACACACACACAGTTCACTCTGGGGAGTGTTAGGAATCTTGATAATGTCATCGCAGGAATCTCTATAATGTACTCAGGTGTCCTGCAGGCTCCAGTTTGACTGTGCCTCTCCTCTGTTTTTGATTAGATGGGTGCGATGGGGTGGGGTGGGGGAGATTTTAGGTTTAGGGTGATGGGATTTAGAGTTTAGATTCTTGTTTCTGTGGCTGTGATTTCCACCTCCCCGCTGTCTCCGAGATTGAAGGTCTGTTTGGTTCGTTGCCTGGGATCTCCCAGCTGCCACTGGATTGAGGGTTTAGTCGTTTCATTGTTCATGATCCCCCCCCTTGCCGCTACTTGATTTGTTTCATTTGCAGAGATGTCTCTGTGCTGCAGCTACAATCGGGGTGTGGCTGTTTTGTCGTGCAGGGTCTCCCAGATGATTTTTTTTTTTTCTTTAGCTGTCCGGGATCGCCTCATAACTGCTGGATTTAGTTTTTTTTGTCTTTATAATGATGCTCTATCTCTCAGCTGTGGCTAGATTTTGGGTTTATTTGTTTTGTTGTCCAGGATCTCCCTCCTCCTGCTGCAGCTGCTAGTGCTGCTGGATTTTCAGGGATGTTGCCACTTTTTAATAGCCAGACACTGCTACTGTTTGTGTGACACTTGGGGCTTTGTGTCCACCCAGCAGTCCCGCTTCTCTCGCCAGGCGAGCTTTGTAGTGTGAAGCCCAAGATTTAGCGATGAAAGCAGAGACTCTGTGTGTATATGAGAGGCGGCTTGTGTGTGAACCAGGCGATTTCGTAGAGTTCTGTCAGCACACAAAATTCCCTCTGCAAACATTCCTCTGATGTGATGCAGGCCCAGGGGAAAAGGGCAGCGTGTGTGCCTCTGCGTGTGTGTGTTTTTGACAGTTGACGTGCGTCTGCTGCCCAGACAAATCCATACCGCCACTCTGAGCCACGCTGCAGGCACATAGTCACACATAAGCATACACACGTGGGTTATATGTGTGCGTTTTGGTTAATGAGGATGTGTTGATTGATTAGACTGCAGTAATTAGCTGGAGTGTGAAGGCCTAGAAAGGTCTCCACTCTGGTGGGAGTGTCCCCTCTAGAGAGATGTTGAACTGTGCTATGCACCATTACATCACACACAAACACGCACAGACAAACACCACAGAAATGGTTCCATCCAAATCCAAGATGTGGGATGAGTCATCTCTCAGAGAGACTTGGTGCAAGCGCGAAGGAAGGGGAAAGGATGTTTGCCGCGCGTGTGCGTCGGAGCCCGAGACAGAAGGATGTTTGCAGCGTGGAGATGTGTGCTGCACACATGAGATGTGCTTGTGCCAGCAGTTTCCTTTCCTGCACAGCATGGCCCCAACACTGACCCGATCCCTCTGCCTTACAAATCAACTCTCTCGCTCACTTCCTCCTCCTCCCGTGCTCATTTGCAGTTTGGCTTCCAGTCTTCCACCCAGATTTCTTTTGTGCAACACGGAGCTGCTTCTAGTAAATGCAAATAATGTGGTACTAAATATGACAAGCTCAGTGTGAAGCCCTGAGTTAGGAGCATGCACAATGAACTGCTTCGGGAAACCATTGCACACAGTGCCACCATATGGTCGGCTAAAGAACTGCGTGTTGATTTAGCGTTCTTGTTGGCATACTTGATGCGTGTAAAGAGGCGAATAAAATTCACTTTGCACCCTTAAAACAACATCACACGAGGCTGATTCTCTTAAATGTCTAACATTGAGGGTTTTTACCTTTTGACTTTAACTGTGCATACACCAAATGTTCTGTACAACTGAGGTAACCTCTGCTTTTTTTTCTCTCCTCCCTTTTGCTCCATCCTTGTCCCCAAATAGAAAGTTCTACTACATCACTCTGCTGAGGGACCCCGTGTCTCGCTACCTCAGCGAGTGGAGGCACGTGCAGCGGGGCGCCACGTGGAAAACCTCCCTGCACATGTGCGATGGACGAACCCCAACGCCCGAGGAGCTGCCCTCCTGCTACGAGGGGTCCGACTGGTCGGGGTGCACCCTGCAACAGTTCATGGACTGTCCCTACAACCTGGCCAATAACAGACAGGTACAGAGGGGGGGGGGATCATAAGCATCAATGTTTATTTTAATCTCAATAACTTTAAGAACATCAGACACCAAATGTCTCAAATCACTGGAAAAGTTTCTGTACACCATGTTTTTCCGCCTTTTATTTTACCTCATAACACACAAGAAGGTGTACTGGCAAATTCTCATAGAGCTAGATTGTTATTTTACTATCATTTATTCCTGATGTTTAAAACTGTCTGTAGTCTTGCTTTGTCTCCTCTAAGAAGATGTGTGGCCTGTCCTGGCAGTGGTAGCGACTGGTGATCGGGTACCACAGTTTAAAAAAGCTCAGTTTGCTTTCTTATTAAAAGTAGCGAGGAAGCAAAAATCCATACCATAAACATAATGGAATCACGAAGCTTTGTAATGTATAAAACCAGCCTCAAACGTTGTCTAAAGTCAGCACAAAAGTGTCACCAGGAGTTATTCCTTTGTATCCATTGATTTGGTTCATAATTTAATACTGATGGACTTTTGTGCACAGTCTTGTGTGCCGTTTTAGTTGAAGTGTGGTTGTTTTTATCCACCTGTCCAGGGATAACGGATGCAAATTAGACGCTGTGCAAATACTTTTAACTGTGTGCTGTCACTTTTTAAAAATAAGCAATAAAATAAGTTAAACCTGTGCACTGTAATAGGCCTTGACCGATATAGGATTTTTAAGGCCAATACTGATATTTAAAAAGAAATTGGACTTTCATATTATTACAGATACAGATTTTTTTAACAGTTTTCACACAAATGGTCAAAAATGGTCCATCAAACTTGCATCACATCACCAGGCCTGACTTCTCTCCTATCAGGTTGCTTTATCACCGTGAGAATTACTGTACAGATGTTGAAAACACCAGCAAAGATGCACTTTGGCTTGAATTAAAGTTAAACAAGTTCTCCTACTACTTTATTTCATTTCTTACATATAAAAAGTGCCTGGTACACTTGTAAGATGAAATCTGCATGAGTGAAAATACACTAGATCTTTCTCCCTCTCTCTTACACACACACACACACACACACACACATTTACTAGTACACGGTCAGGAGTTTGCCTTCTGGTCATAAACACCTCAAATTCGCACCTCCTTTTCTCATGCTATCTCAGTCTCCCACCTCAACATGTTGGCCAGCTTATCTCATCTGAGCCTCGGGGTGTTATTACTCAGGGTCCTATGACTTATAAATGCGACACGCGCGCACAAACACACACACACATGCATACTTGAGGAATCCTGATAGACCAGCGGGCTATGGTGCATGCAGTGAATCCAAATTTATGTCCAGTCTGTTTGTTTACTGTACTTTAACAGCCCCCCCGTATACCCTTGGTAATGAAGTGATCTCTCACTTTGGAGCAAAATTTTCTTGGCTCTAATCTGCTCCTGCTACTGGAATTTCAGAGGGAAATTTGTTACTGATACCAACATTTTAAAGATAACATATGATGTGCCGGCAAAATCAAAGATTTCAGGATCAAGGCTGGACCGATGAATAGTGAAAGTCCAAGTAATATTTGTACCACCTACATAAATTCTGTTGCACATGCAGTGAGTGACAAACACTCCATGGGCTCGCACAGCCACCTTCACGTCCTTTTCTCCCGTCTTTAGGTTCGTATGTTGGCGGACCTGAGTCTCGTAGGCTGCTACAACATGTCCACAGTTCCAGAGAAGAAGAGGGCCCAGCTTCTCCTGGAGTCTGCCAAGAAGAACTTGCGAGACATGGCCTTCTTTGGCTTGACGGAGTACCAGAGGAAAACACAGTTCCTCTTTGAACGAACCTTCAGGTTGCGCTTCATCAGGCCTTTCATGCAGTACAACAGCACGCGGGCTGCAGGGGTGGACCTGGACAACACTACGGTAAGTGCAACATTGTATTTACCGGTAACTCTATAATGCCAGATGTATCATCTTTGATATACGAGTTCTCTTTTCCCCTGAAAAACCTAAATAAATTGCACAAAAGTAACAAAAGTAGTAGATGTAGCAAAAATTAACAAACAAAAGTTAAATAAAAATTAAAAATATATACACATATTTTATACATTCCTTTCTTTCTTATTTGTTCAAAAATAAGAATTTTCTGGCAATTATTTTAAAGCAGCTTATACTATAATCACGCTGTTTCTATTTTAAGATGATTTATTTCTCATTGCATTCAAATTTGTATTACTTGGCAGATACTTTTTTTTTAATAGAAACTGGAAGAAAAAGGAAGAAGTACAATAAGCTGAAACGAAAAATGAAGAAAGGGGGGGGAAATGTCAAAAAGAGAGACGGAGAGAAAAGTCTGCAGTCTGATATTGCTGTGAAATGAGTTGGAATGACTGTTGCTGTTGAGAAAACAGCAGCTTTAAACATGTTCTTCACACTTGTGTGGGAGTTTTTAAGCTCAGTTCTCATCTTAAAAAAAAGAAAGAAAAGAGAAATCCTCCAGTATACAGCAGACTGGTGATTTATACATCAAAACCAGTTGGAGCAGAGAATATAAAATATGCTTCTGACAGATGCTGTGGAAAGGTGGACCCACTGGTTATTATCACGGAAAGGAGGAAATGTCATATTGTGACAGGTTGGAGTCCGACAGATGTGGCGTTTTGTGTCGCATTTTGTTTAAAAGTAGGTTATAAAATTGGTTTAAATCTTTGCGAAGCTGAATTATTTAAATAAGTTTTTTTTAAAGGAATTCAAATAATTATATCAGCAGGTTTGGCGGAGACTGTTTACTTTAGACTCTCCTCTAAAGCTGCTGAAAGCCCACTCTTACCCTCATCCCTTCAAGATCTCAGTGAGTCATTTTTGTTTGAAACTGGTTTCTAAATAATTCGACGCCTGTTCTCAGATAGCCGTGCGCCTTCTCCCTGGCTTTCTTTTTGCTGGTGTCCCCCCCACGCCGCTGATCAAACGCCTCAGATTTTCTAACATCGACTCATCACGTCGCTTCCCCCTGTTATCCCACACATGGCTCGCAAATGATATCCAGCACTCCATCACAGATTTCAAAGGGATTCTCTTAATTAAACACACACACCCCCCACCTCCATGTTCAATCTGCACACAGCAGATTACAAAGCCAGCTGCATGGCACAACCAAACAACGTGTTTCTGTTGTCTCCACGCTGGCGATGCATTCTCTTTCAGTTCCCTCTCTCTGCAGACGCGCTATAAAGCATGTGATCAAATGTCACAATGGGATATTTTCGCAATTCCAACTTTGAAACTTTCCCAGCATCGCATGGAGGAAACTGAGACTATATTTAGTTTCTGGGCTTGTGCCTTGAGTGTTTTGGGAACTTTCTGGGCCTGAGTTTGTAATATTGAGCAGTATTGATGGGTCATTAATCACAGAAATATCCCTGTGTCCCCAGAGTCAGTGTTTGGGTTAGGAGTGGACACAAGTTGATGAAGAAATTAAGGCTTCCACATCAATCCCAGAGCAATCCAATACCATGGCTAAAGTGATAATACATTCAGCTCCATGCATTTCCAAAAACTCACTTCCCTTCAACTAAACTCACTTCCCCTGTGAGTTTAGTTGACCAAAAAAGGGAGATGAGCCGCGTGTCAAGTATGATCACTGTGTTCTGACCTTCATCTCTCCACAGAGAGTTTTCTTTTTACTCCCGCCTACATCAACACTCCAGATAAGGGAACACTTTGTGTTTTTTGCATTGTCAGCAAGCGGCCAGGCCGTCCTTGACGCAGAGCACGAGGTAGAGCGTGACGCAGTCAGGTCACTGTGCTCCAAAAAGGTCCGCCATGACTGACCCTTTCTGGTTCCTCAAACTAGAGTGAGAGGTCAACTATAAAAATGTTATGGAAACAATACCGATTAGAAATCAGTGCAATCTAAGAAGAATCCTGGAGCTATTGAAGCTTCTAGAAAAGCTAATAAAAGCCTTCCCTGTTCACCCCCCCCCCTCCCCCCCTTCTCCATCTCATCCACCCAGCTAAATTTCTCCTGCTCTCTTCTTAATAGGTCCAGCGTATAGAGGAGCTCAACGAGCTGGACATGGAGCTGTACGACTACGCCAGGGACCTGTTCCAGCAGCGCTACCAGTATACCAGACAGCAGGAGAGGCGGCAGCAGCGCATCAAGAACCACATGCAACAGAGCCACCAGGGCCTGGGCATCAGCCTGTGGCCCTCCCGCAGCCAGCAGAGCTTGGTGTCAACACTGGAGGACGGGGACGGAGAGCGGGAGGAGGGCGAGGAGGGAGGTAGAACGGAGGAGGCGGGAAGCAGGCTCCCCACTGAGGACTACATGAACCAGATCATCAACCGCTGGTAGCAGAAGAATGAGAACAAACAACAGACATGCATATGTAATGTGAAATGCAAACACATACACACACACTTACACACACACACTTACACTCACAGAAAGTGGCGCCTGCTTCAAAGACCCGACTGACTGGAAAAAAAAAATACAAAAAAAAAAGAAAACTGACTTTACCAGAGTTGGGCTGCGGGAATCAGAATCCGAGTGGGTTGCTATGGAAACCTGAGCTTGGTCGATTGCATCAGCTCACATTATTGAGGTTTGCCCAGTTGTTATTAGCGCCTGCTTGACCTTTCCTCCCCTGTGCATTTCTTTGTCTCTCCCATCATCATTACTGACTGAGCAGAGGAGAGATATTTTTAAAAGTCGCTGACAGCTGAGTAACCCAACCAGCTCTCCCGCCTCCGCTCCTCCTTCTGTATTCCTCTCCGTCTCTATGGCCTGATATGGAGCATGAGAAAATGAATTTAAGTCTGTGAATTCCCGCTAATCCTTGCAAAAAAAGAAAGAAAGAAAGAAAGGGGGAGAAAGGAGAAAATAAAGGACCAGTCTACTTCCTGGATTCTCCAATTTCAAAGGAACTGGGAGAGCAATGAAAATGTGCTGATTGCTGGGCCGAACAAAGAAAAAGGTGCGTCAGAGACTGCCCCAGAAAGATGGAAAGAAAAGTTGTGTAATAAAAGCTTTCCGCTTTACAAATAAAAAAATAAAATAAAAAAAAATCTGTCATCTCACCCATGAACATGCTTTGGCCATTAGTGACATTCTCATTTTAGGATGAATTTATTTGTATTTTTCCTTCTGTGTTGATGCTTTTTTTAAAAAAAGCACAATTGTAATAACACTGAGACCAACATTGCTGCCTAAAGAAAAGTAATTCCTTTATGTCTTTATTTTTATTTGTTTTATAAGTCAAAGCAAATGGATTAGATTGATGTACTATGGACCATAGCCATTACTGAAGCCTTGCTTCTTAGGGGTGGGAATTTTTGTTTTTTGTTTTTCTAGTCAAGGTTTCCACAGCCCTTGTCGCTTGATAAGTTCATTATTTCTCTTTTTTTTTGGTCTCCATCCTGCAGAGAATGACAGCCAATTACAGCGCAGAATCTCACATAGGTGCGAGGAAATCAAAGGGAGGGGAGAGGAGCAAGTGTGCTGCAGGTTGTTGCCAGGAACTGTGTGAGCGGCAAGCGCTTTGGAAGCCTTAACTCAGACAAATGCTTGAGATGGGAGCCATGGAACTTCTGGTCACCATGGCAATGTGAGCTCTTAATGCAGTGGGTGGCATTTTCAGTTTCACCGTTTATTCCCATTTCTTTCTTTTACCTTCTGACTGCGTTGTAAAAGTAGCAGTCTCAAAGAAGCTTCCGCCCTACCTGCTGAAAGGGCGCCCACAGCGCCGGTAACCCGCGGTTCGTTAGTGGGAGCTGTCTTTTTACCCTGAAGAACGGACAGGGCGAGGTAGCAGTGCCTCTATGTACTGGGAATCATAGTCACCATAATTATTGCTGATACTATGTCTGCATTACACTACAGTAATTTCTCTGACTACTCGTGAGTCTGTGTGGATGAGTGCAATTCTGCAAGAGTGCGTGTGTTTGTGTAAATAGTATGTACAGTATGCCTTTGATTGGCGTATGTGTATGCCTTTGTAAATAGTGTGCCTGACTGACTGACAGAGGATGTGCGATGAGTTTTGCGAGTGAGTGGCTTCATGACCAATTATAATGCCTTTTTTGTTTTTGTGGAGGGCAGCATGTCAGAGCAGTGCGACCCTCACAGTGATGCAAGCCAATAATACTCCCCTCCCCTCTCCTCCTCCCCCGCGACCTGTCCTTAACCCTTGTTTTTTTTTTTTGTCTGTTACCCATGATGAGGCTACGTATAAAGACTATCAGTACGACCACTTAAAATCCTAATGTGCATTTTTGTCAATCAGTCATAAGTAAGCTTAGTGGGATTTTTCTCCTTTTGTGACCTTAGTTCCCCTCTATGTTATTCAGTGATTTGGTCATGTAGCGTTATGTATGCAAACTGCAGGAGGGAATCCAAACGTGCTATCCAGCAGCTGGCCGTATCTTCAAAGGCTTTTCCACGTTCCCACAGGGGTCAGCTTTTTAACTGAAAAGTTAAATATTTGCATGGGGAAGACTGAAAAACTATTTCCACGTAGCGTGCCAGCTACTGGCACAGGTCGAGCAGGAAGCCTGTGGAAAGATCGGATTTAAATGCGTCTTTAGCCCAGGGTCATCATTTTATTGTTTTCTACAGTAAGTAGCTGCTTGAGTCACCACAAAGAGAACTGGAGACACAACTTCTATCCAGATCACAGGTAAAAAGAAAATTAGATTTTGAGTTCAAAGCCCAAGGTTGCGCAGGACCTCTGACGTGGTCACAGATGGGGCTCTAATGGCAGCAGTTTTCAGTCATCTGTAGCTAATCGACATTAAGTCCATAGCAGCTGAGAGATATCTGCAATTTTCTGTATTCTGCCAATGATTGTTTCCTTTCTATAACTGCTGGGAACTTATCTGGTTAGCTGAACACGTCTCAGGAATATAATCAATACTTTAAGGTCATCAAATTAATAGCGCCCAGCTCACTGAAAAATATGGTGCAAAGCTACATCTGTTCATTATCACTTAATCAAGACTTTGTGCTGCAGTGGGATTTCGCTTTAGGCTTGAGTTACAGGCTGGAAACAATAAATGTATTTGTTTCACATGCATGGAAGGAAGCATTTTGAAAGAATTTGGGTTTAAAAGTGGATTGGAGTTGGAAAAAATCCCTCATCGACCCTGCCTGCAAGCAAACACTGTCAGCAATAAAGCGGGAAAACGAAGAGAATGTAAAAGTGGGACGGGAAGAATCTAAACTGAATGTAGTCCGCTGTTTGTGTCCTCAGGCAAAGGATGCAGGCAAACAACCTGCTTTCCTGGTATCCAAATACATAAGATGATTCATCTGGTTGTTAACGTTATTTTATTTTTATTTTTTTTGTAAACAAAGGGAACAATTTAGCTGAAATTTAACAGGCCGGATCCTCCCGTCCTCCTGCAGATCTCTTTATTTGATCAGCTCTGTTTAAATCAGGGATGATTTATGAAGGAGAAAAGAACAAGGGTGAGGGGGGGATGATGAAAATGTACTGGGACACATCCAGAGTCAATATGCTTCTTTTAAAGTAATGCATTAGGGAGAGGAAAAATGGTTATAGAACGAGAGAGCTCCCTTTTTCATATTTTTCCGTCTCAGTCATTGTATTCTTCAAACCGGAGATTTTTATTTATTTTTTTCCCCCCCCCTAAGCTCCGGGCGTTTTGCCCACAACTTCTTTTTCAGAGTCACACTCACATTAGTCCATGTTCTGGCTCGAAACCAATAATATCTGGCTCCGCATTAGTGGTTTCGGAACAAATAAGACACCAATTCTGTATCTCAAGAGCGTTTCATTTTCAGCGTCCCAGTTTCAAGTGTAGTAGTCCTCAAAAACACTCCCCGTACCTGAACAGAGTGTGAGAGGAAATCTCAAACCTTTCACCGAAATGATTCCAGTTACCGATGCTCTGAAGCTATGCTCAGATTTTTGTGTCTGATCTCTGTGTATATCTGATGTCTTAACAGCATTTTTCTTTGTGACAATGAAGCAACCCGGGTGTCGCTAGCATCATGCTTTTTATTTTTTTAAAGAGTGTGATAGAGATGTGTGTTGTTTGTTTTTGTTTTTGAGTTGGTGTGCAGTCTGTCTCTGGCTCCTTCTGTATGCATATTTCTGGGATTGTTTCTTATGATTGCAAAAATGAATCATCAAGCCACCAATTAAAATATTTCATTTTTACAGACCGGGCTGTGTTGTGGTTGTCACTGCGTGTCATTTCTGATGTTTCCCATTCTGTCACTTTATTATCAAGCATGAAAAATATCTTCCTTTTTTTTTTTTTTTTTTTATAGCTGGAAATTACATCCAAGGTACTGAACTTGAAAACGAGCCACATGTTCAATTACACTCAGTGATTTTTTGACAGCTTGAGTGGGAGCCGAGACCTGCAGGTTTCCACACTCCCATTCACAGGCCAATTTGTAACTAAAGGATTTCTTTCTTTCTTTCTTTTTTTTACCTTTCGCCTACACTAACTGCAAAACTGTGACCCCATAAAGATGCCCGTTCCCCCACCTAATGACGGTCCTCAGTCCTGTCGCCAGTGATCTACAGCCTAATTCAATGTGCAGACACTCTGAGCCTGCCTGATGCACTTATATGCACACAAATATGCTTCTTCCTCTGCTGTGGCAGGTGGGTGTTTGCGAGGAAGAGGACAGCCTGTATAAATATAATTCCGTGTCCTTGGCTGAGCTTCCAGAGGAGAGAGGCCTCCACCCTGCCTCATCAACACACCAGTGAGCTTCAACTCTGACCTATCGAGGCAGGCGTAGAAAATAATTTGCCAGGACAGTGACGAGCAGGGCCAATTGGCTGGAGGGAGATCAAAGCTGGCACGGACAAGAGCAAGAGTGTCGAGCAGATGAGGAATCAGAGAGAGTCTTTATGTAGGACATGAGGAAAGAGATGCTGGGTTTTTTTTTTTCTGCCTGACATACGAACAGAAGAGCGGGATGGAAAAGGAAGAGCTGCGAAGCCTCTCTGGCAGCTGGCAAATGGTGTATTAGACTGAACGCAGTCTTTAATCCTCCCCCTAGCTCTGGGTCGCTGTCATTCCAAGTGCAGCTGGACTGAACAAACAATAATGGCTCGACCGTTGCAGAGGGGTGGACAGCTTTTGTGCGGCTGAACGTGTGCATGTGAGTGTTTGGGAGAGAAAGCGCTCGCTCGCTTTTGCAGTGGGAATCCAGCTCAGAGTTGATTGTACGGACTCTGGCTGCAGTCCATTATTAGCAGGTCAAACTGGCTACAGCTCCTCAGTGCTGGTCCCATACGTGCGCCGTGCAAACAAAGAAACTCTGGCGTTATTACTGCTTATTTTCAGCGTGGAATTCTGCAGATAAGTTCATACCGAGTTGCTCCCTTACGTGCATTGAGCCAGGCTATTGTAGTTCTGGAGGACTGCCCTGTTGGCGCCGGCAGCTGGTCACGATGGAGTTTGGTCTTTGTGTCCGGGCTTGAGTCATTTCCAGCAGTGGCATGGCTTAGACCCTCATCGTCAGATATACAATGTGGATAAATCTCTCTACACAAACAATTTGCAGAGTTTCAGTACCCTGTTTTGTCAGATTGTGAATGCGGAGGGCGGTGAGGGAGAGACAGCAGTCCAGAGTGGGAGTACGCATTTTTCCCTTTAGCAATAAAATAAATATGATTAGATGGACCATCTGGGGCTGTTATCTGACCTTCCACTCCACGTCTGGCTAATCTCCCAGGTCAACACCAAATCACCTCTCGTGATACTGCAGGATTGAACAGAAGAATCTAACCTCCCAGGCAGTGCTCTGCTGACTTACACTAGTGGGAGTCCAATCTGAAGGATCTCACAATCCTATTAGGCTTGAAAAATGTGTGTTCATT